CCTTCGAAATACATTTTGGTGGAGGGAAAAAAAGTATAGGTTCATTTGTGGCAAAATGCATAGTATGCTAACAAGTTAAAGCGGAACATCAAAGACCGGCAGGGTTATTAAATCCATTAGACATACCTGAATGGAAGTGGGAGAATATCGCAATGGACTTTGTGGTAGGATTTCCAAGGTCAGCAAGATGACAGAATGCTATATGGGTAATAGTGGATCGTCTAACAAAGTCCGCTCATTTTCTTCCAGTAAAAATGATATTCAGTCTAGATCAGATGGCGCAGTTGTACATTAGAAAGATTGTAAGATTGCATGGTGTGCCCGTGAAAATGATATTCAGTCTGATACAAATCCAAGATTTACGTCAAAGTTTTGGAAGAGCTTACAAGGAGCTATGGGAACGAAATTGAATTTCAGTACATCATATCACCCTCAATCTGATGGTCAGTCTGAAAGGACCATTCAAACTTTGGAAGATATGCTAAGAGCTTGTGTTCTGGATCTAGGAGGCAGTTGGGAATTGTATATACCTCTGGTAGAATTTGCATATAATAACAGTTTCCAAGCAACTATTGGAATAACACCGTATGAAGCTCTCTATGGTAGAAAATGCAGATCACCTGTTTATTGGGACGAAGTTGGAGAAAAGAGAGTTTTGGGACCAGAGATTATTGAAAGAACAGTTGAAACCATTGATAAGATCCGTACCAGGATAAAGGCCGCGCAAGATAGACAAAAGAGCTATGCAGATACCAGGAGAAAAGACTTGGAATTTGAAGTTAAAGAGAAAGTCTTTCTAAAGGTGGCACCAATAAAGGGTGTACTTAGGTTCAGCAAGAAAGGCAAACTATGACCTCGTTATATTGGACCTTTTGAAATACTTGACAGGGTTGGAAATGTGGCGTATCAATTGGCGTTACCACTTGAACTATCGACAGTTCATAATGTGTTTCATGTATCGATGATCAGAAAGTATATGCATGATCCTGATCATGTGGTCAACTACCAATCCTTGGAAGTACAAAAAGACTTATCTTATAAGGAATTATCGATCAAGATATTGGATCGAAAGGTACATAAATTACGGAACAAGGAGATTCAACTGGTCAAGGTGCAATAGAATAATCATGGAATAGAAGAAGCTACTCGGGAAAGAGAAAAAGAAGTTAGAGACAAATAGACAACACTCTTTGTCCAACCATAAGGTAAATTTCGAGGACGAAATTTTATTTAAGGTGTAAAGGTTGTAGTAGCTGAGAAAAATAAAATGGAATTATGCTAATATTTTGTGTTGATCTAGCACCACGAGCCTAACCCATTTTAGAAACGACATATGGAAGCTCAAACCATGTAAAATTATGAAAGCCCAAGTCATAAGTCAATTAAAAGCCCAGCAATTTAAGAGATTAAGTTTAAGTAAAATTGATTACAAAGATTTAATAAATAACTGGGTTGTCCCAATGGTCATCTATATGGTATTTCATATAGGCAATCCAGGTTTGAATCACCATGTAGATGTTTTTTATAAAACTTTCAAATGAATTATTTTTATGGCTTAGAGACTCTTCAAATTTTTAGTTAAGAACTAAGTTTAATAAATTTAATGATAATACAACTCCCCCACTTAATTTTTCATTAAAAAGAAATGTTATAGAAGTGGAAGGTCACTTTTTCACTACACTCCTCTTCAAATCCGAATTTCATCTCATTTCTCTCAAAAAAATATATTTCATATCAAGTTGAGCTTAAGGTATAACAAGGGTGAGAAGAAGGAAGGCTTTCTATACATTTTGTTCTTTTCTCCAAGAAAATTCAAGGTAGGTAGAGGTACAAGTGTTTACTTCGTTTCAAATTATGATTTTCGAAAAATGTTTGAATGAAATGATGCCTCCGGGTATGGTGCTTCAGCACTACAATAGTTTGAATGATCATTCTCCGGCTCTACGTGTTATGATAATGCTATAATAATTGAATTTTGTCGAAAATCCATCTACGATCGACGGTATGAATCTATAGTTCGGAATTTCTAATTTGATAATGAATTACACCGATGATATCTATTGAGTTTCAAACTCATGGGTTAATTTCCTTCCTACAGGTTGAATAAATTTTTCTTGGGGCGAAGATGATGGTAAAGGATAATGCAACGTGTCATGGAGAAACCGGTGATTTACATCTTTAGTTGATTTTGAGATGTTTACACTTTTTTTAAATTTGATTCCTATGAATATTGTGTGGATCTATTTTACGAACACTCGTTATGAATAAATTATGTTTGAAAGTAGATATGCGTCATAGGAATAAAATTACAAATCACCGTATACAAAAAAAAAGAAAAAAACAAAAAACAAAAAGGTTAGCGACTTAGAGTTTTGATGTCTCTTCAGAAATTTCAGTTTCTGCCTCATCTTTAAAAAAATCATAACTCTTTCGTTACTTGGTATTTTTATACGAAACCAATTGGATTGGATAGCCTAATAAATTAGACACTGAATAAAATTGGAATCATATCAATCCAATATCGGTAAAAGGTTATATGTCACATAAAGTAAACTGTGCTGGGTGTTGTCTCTGTTTTTCAGCTTCTACCCTTGTTTTAAAAAATTCATAACTCACTCGTTACTTGGAATTTTTAGATGAAACTAATTGGATTTGATAGTCTCATGGATTAGCTACTGAATAAATTTTAAATCACGTGGTTTTGATGTCGGTGGAATTTTATATGCCATTTTAAGTGAACTGCACTGATTTACCTTTCAACCGGGTCACTGATGAGTTTTGAAAAATATTTTAATACCCCATATGATGTCGACGGAAGCTAATTTTTTAATATGTCATATTATAAGGAGTTTACTACCTTACATTAAAATTTGATGAAGTTTCAAGGTTGATAGCTATGAAAGCAAATTTATTTTGAGAATTACTGTTTGAGACAAAAACTGGAACAACAATATTACTTTTTAAGTTTTGGCGAAATTTCACGTCAATAGTCGTTACATGTATGGAACCCATTCTAAAAACATTTTTAAAATTTTTTTCTTTTAGAATTGGATTATTGTATAATAAAAAAAAAGAAAATTCTTTAATTAAATTCTAAAATTTAATCTTTATACCTTTTACTAAAAATATATTGAACTAACTTTACGGCTAAGGTACAATGGTTTGAGTGATGTTTCCGTCCATGCGGGTCAGGGCGTTACAATTATTGTTCCCAACTGTCGAGAATTACAGAGATCATCTGTCGGGAACGACATATAAACTGTCGGGACGTAATGTTGGTGTTTTGTTTGTGAATTGTCGTGTCATGGAAATTAATTTTCCATTTCGGCAAACTGTCAGTCGAAGCTGAAGGAACCATAATAATTGGCTAAGTTTATAATGAAAATAATGTATTCACCCCGTTCGTGCCAATGTAACTGTAATGACAGGTACTTTGCTTGTGAAACATAAAAACCAATTTTTTGTTGGCATATGATAATGATAACAAATTAATAACTTTAATTCGGAATGTACACAGCATAGGGAAAACATTTTCGAGATTACATTTGACAACCACTTTTACCATCAATTTAAGTCTTCATCGTCGCGTATTTCAGCCGAAAGTATATTCAAGTTGGGGACTTTGAACTTCAATTCAGTTTGAGTGCGAGGATCAAAAATACCAAAATTTGTCCTTTAACCTTAACAAAAGTTCGGCTACGATAATACTTGTAGGCACCAGAATGGAAGTGGTTTTGTCTTCTCTTCACTTCTATTTGTCATCCGCATGAACAAACTTTTCCCTATGCGACATTATGAATTTTAAATGATTACTCACACATCAAATGTTGAGATTACAACGACAAAAATTCAGAATCAATATGTTTGTATTTAATAGCATGAAAGTAGCACTACATAATACGTAAATCCGTACAATGGCAAAATGTCAAATCAAAGGTTTCCATCGTTTTAAAGTGTCCAAATTGACAGTAAAACTATATATCCCGACAGTTTGTAGACGTCGGGTTCGACATTTCAAACATCTAACCCGACGGTTTGTTAACATTAAATTCGATAGTTGAAATGTAAAAAATGTCGGAAAGTAGACGACAATGGTGGAACTCAGGCTTCTTCAACACAACACATTAAGTATGGTCATTACTATTGAGTTACCAAATGACAAAATAAAAAGATCAGATTGGCCTTGTCATTAAACAGATATTTAATGAAACTGTGTTTGGTTTGAATGGAAGAAAATACTCAAAATCTTAACGGTGATAATGACATTTTGTAGTTTATGGAGAAGATGGAGAAAATTTAGTGCTTGTAGCTTATATTTCATTTTAAATTTCTTTTACCCTTTTTTATTAACAAAAATTCATATTAATCAATAAAATACATATTTATCCATGTTTTTTCTAGTAGCTCACATTTGCGATTGATCAATAGCTTTTCTTGGTGCATTGTTGATGATGGAATGGAGATGATGAAGAAGAATGTAGGGTTTCTATTCCTCTGTGTGTGTGTGTTTTTTTTTTTTTTTTTTTTAAGATTTCACCCATTTTTTAATAAAAAATTCATATTCTACAATATAATAATCATATCTTCAATGTTAGAAATAAATAAAACAAATAATCACATCACACCATTAATTACATTTAAATCAAGTATTTATTGCTCATAAAAAGGTGTGAAAGGTTAAAATGAACATTTTGCAGGAAAAAGTGACAATTTTAAAAGAATTTGGTGCAAATGATTTTTTTTTTTTGTATATCTTCAATTTTAGTGATATTTATGTAAATTCCCCTTTATTATATGATAAATGTTTGAGAGCTACTGTAGTGCTAGGGCGGGGGTTCACAGAACCCCCCACAGGCTCCTTACAACATGGGGGGAGGGATGGGTTGAGGCATCTTTGGTGTATGTTTTTAATGAGATGGGATCCACCTCATCTGAAAGGGCATGTAAAGAACGTGTGCACTCAGCTTTATTCTAAATGTTTCGACACTAAGATCATAAAATATTCTGACGAATAAAATAAAGAAAAATAAAATGAATTGTTTTACAAAATATGAACACATCTCTTTTCTGAAGAAATGTTTCAACAAAACAATTCAATTTACAGTCAATTCAAAAAGAAAGAGAAGCAAAGAACTAGGTAAATGATACACTTGCAATCCCATACATTCCCACTTCTATAACTATACCAAGGAAAAATACCTACGAAGTTTGTGGTTTTAAATCATAAAGGCAAAAAGGATATAAACAAAGATTTCTTCGGCTATCGACCATCTAGAATGGTAACAGTAACTTGATTCACAGTGCAGGATTCATCCTGTTTACTTGATGATGATTCTGTATCAGCAGGTCTTCTTCCCATGCAAAATCCCGGGTTCTTAGGTTGGGACATTGATGCAGTATCACTGCTTAACATCAGGACTACAGTGTCCATGTTAGGTCTATCTTCGGCTTGTTCCTGCACGCACAAGAGGCCGACTTGTATGCACCTCAATACCTCACTTGGGGAATATGATTCACCAGCTGCTGAATCCATTAGTTCCATACCTCTTCCTTCTCTCCATAGCCTCCATGCCTGCAGCATTTTGTTCAATTCTTTGTTAGTTTGTCGGAACTTAAAGGAATTTGTTAACTCGGGATTGCAATAAATGTATATTGCAAGAAAAATGCAGTAAACTTATTTGTACTTACATGCGCAAGAAGATTAAGTTGGTTATTTGTATGATAAAATCCTCTGTTCTTCTTGCCAGTTACTATTTCTACCACTAGAACTCCGAAACTGAATACATCGGATTTCATAGAGAATAGGCCATCCATTGCATATTCAGGTGACATGTAACCACTGCAAACAATGAATTGTTTTTAGTTAAAATGCAAGATTTAAATAAGCTTTAGTATCAGGGAAATTTATTTGGTGCTCACTATGTTCCGACTACTCTTTTTGTATTCGCTTCGGTCTGATCTCCTCCAAAAATTCTTGCCATGCCAAAATCTGATATTTTAGGGTTCATCTCTTTATCCAAAAGAATGTTGCTCGCTTTGAGATCTCTATGGATAATTCTAAATCTTGAATCTTGATGAAGATAGAGAAGCCCTCGTGCAATCCCACATATGATGTTGAACCTCCTTTTCCAGTCGAGCAATGAACTTTTCTCTTTCTCTGTCGAAGAAACATTTGACAAGTGCCATCAGTACTAAATTTTATGAATAAATTTGTTAAAAAAAAAAAATGGAGAGAGAAGATCAAAAGGGCTCACTGAATAAAATCGAATCCAGGCTTTTGTTTTCCATGTACTCGTATACCAGCATCTTCTCCTCCATATCAATGCAGCAACCGAGCAAACGAACAAGATTTCTGTGCTGAAGTCTTGCAATCAACTTCATCTCATTTTTAAATTCCTCTATTCCTTGGCCAGAATTTTTCGAAAGCCTCTTCACTGCTATTTCCTGGCCTTCCACCAATATACCCTAATGTTCCAAGAACATACAAAAAATTATCTCGAAAAGCAACATTTTGCCACTTGACATAATACATCATTGTGTCAATACATTTTGTTATTAAGATTTACCTTATAAACACAACCAAAACCACCTTGTCCAAGCTTATTAGCATCGGAAAATTTATCAGTAGCCATTACTATGGTACTGAAATCATATAACGGTAAATCCACTTCGTCCACTGTACTTTCACCTGAATGGTCTCTTTTGCTGAGAATAGACGGTGCATTCATCAGAAAATCTTGACTTCTTTCCCTTGAACCTGTTTTAAATCCAATGTATATATATTCAGTGCCCGATATTTTTTATATACATAAGCATGAATATTAATCAAAATATTATGCATTTCATTGATCATCACCTCTAAACTCCGTCCTATTCCCTAACTCAGTACGGGATTTCTTCCTCTTCCAGATGAAGAAAATGCAGAATCCAGCCAGAACGACGCCAATGCCAACCGTAATGCCAGCAACCATGATAATTTTTTGTGTCTTATTGGAATCATTTCCTGATGATCCTGCTCCTGCTCCTGCTCCTGCTCCTACTCCTGCTCCTTCTAAAAAATAAAATGATACTATAATCAGAAATGCTTCTTACACTAGTATAAGTTTTGTTGAATATATTGTAATATCGACTATTAAATTATTAGAAAAAATTATAATTATCTATAAAATGTTTTGAGTTTTAACCACTTCAAACCTTTAATATGCGCTTATTGTGCTACCCTTTTCAATAATTTTGTGTTTTGAAATTTTGGTTCCAAGTTCCATTTAAACTCTCGTAACATAAATTTGTGGCTCTTTAAGGTCCTTATATGTTTAATATTAATTTTTACGGTCAACATGTCCAAAGCCAACCTTGTTTCAGAATATTAGTCATAAGAATAATACTATTTGTAATCATTCACTACTGCAATCGCTTTATATGGCATACATATAACGATTTTGTTGCATAAGATAATAATAAAGTACCACATTAATATATCAAATCACTAACTGTCATATGTATACCTCATAGGACGTTTACAACAATGAGCGACTGCAAATAACATTAATCATAATATCCATCTACATATTTGTACTTTAATTGAATTGCCGTTTTGTCTACGCTTTAATTACGTATTAAACTTTTTATACGGAAATTGCTAGAAATTTTGAATTTGAAAAGAAGAAGGAAACGTAGAAAGTATAAGACTTGGTAGGGCCCAAGAATTATATTCCTGCCTAAGAGACAAAATTGATTTTAGCGATGTGGACCAACAAAAACCTACTTAGTCAATAATTTCGGCCTAATGACTTTGTAATTTACAGCAGAATCACGGGGCCCAAATTGCCGGCCTAAGAATTGTTCACATCAAACAAATGATATCTAATGTCATTGGTCCCACAAGTTCAACAACTTTGAATTTCAAGCCCTCATTAATTGGCTGATATTCATTTGTGAGTCATGTTTTAGAGGGTATCACCCCCCGTTTGCTCCTCATCTTTTAAAGAATGAGAATGAAAAATATAATCGTTACGAATCCAACATAAGAGATAGAAATTTAAATTTGGTGACTTGATGTGATGGATAACAATCATATTTTTCATTTTAATGAGAAAAAATGAGAGCCAAAATGGGGCTAAACTTTTCTTCTTTTTTTTCCTTTTTCAATCTTTTCTTTTTAACAACATATTCAAAAAAAAAAAAAAAAATTACTATTCTAGAAATTATAACATCAAATAATGTCAAATAATGAGGCTGAAACGAGGACTTAAACTTTTTAAAAAGGGCGAGGATTGTATTCTAACCCACAAATAATAGTCATACTAAAGCATTAAAAGAGGTCTGACTCTTAAGATCACATGTAGTCTTGATTGAATGTTACGGTCTACAACATAATTTATGATGTTTAAGTTCGATAGTAATTATGAAAATTGATTTTTTGATCGTCAAAAAGAAAAGTGAATTTCACATGTGAGAGAAGATCTCAAAAATGGCGACTGATTTAAAAAGTAACAACCCAGAAATTGATTTTTTTGGATAAAAAATCTAAAAATCAGAACCAAACATGCACTTAATATAATCAAATTTTAAAGTTTTGAAGATAAAATTTAATGTCTCTTCCTAAAAGTTAAGCTAGAAGTTTAATAAAATAGGAAGTATTTAAGCAAAATCTTAAATAAAAAATTAATGTTGTTAACACCGTTAGTCCACCATTGCCCCAAAAAAGTTAATAGACTAGGGGTCCATGTTAAAATCAATGTAACCAGTGTTTCATTAATTTCATCTTCAATGAAATAATAATTTTACTTTGTTGAGAAATTTTCGAAGCACGAGAAAAACTAAAAGAATAATATATAATTTCAATATGCCCAACCACCCTGCACTATTGTCCAGCAACATAATTGACTAAAAAGAAATTAATTACCTGCATAATTATGACAGTAAATAAAAGTTTAATTTTTACTTACCTAAATCAGAAGCCGCTACCCTAACGTGAAGATCTTGGCCACCCTCCGCCGCTGCATATTGCCTCATATCGAGAAGATCCGTCGTCCAAAGTACACATCCCGAGCCACCATCGGTAATATTAGCGCTGCAGTAAGCCTGGCACGAACAATTTTTCCGACACAAATCTTGGCACTGATCTAGACTCATTCTCGTGTCAACAAATGCACTCGAACTTTGCGGCAATTTCATATTTTTCAACGTCAAAAACCCATCACTCGAACAATCCAATATACTTGTCCGAATACATCCATCGGAACCATCCCTCAAATTCCAGGCCTGTGGATTCCTAGGCACGAACCCCTTCATACACCTGCATACCGGCGAATCATTTGTATCACATATGCCATACGCCCCACATTCTCTATAGTCATCACATTGATCTCTCGGAGCATACCAGAACGAATTCCAGATTTTGCTTGTCGGAATCCATGTAAATCGTCGGAGTGCACTAGAATCTGAATTTTTAACAACTAATCTTGAATAAACAGACTTGTTGTGCAATTCAAATCCATAGTACACCTCATTTTGATCTATCACAAAATCAAATGTAAAAATCGGAGAAGCCTTCATTTCTGGAACGCCGCTAAATCTCAGGCCATTCCAGGGACCACTCCGGTAAATAATAGACTGTTTCTTCGTCAAAAAACATTCTGGGAAACCACTGGTGTTGAGCTTGAAACTGAAGTCACCAGTACCTGGATCATCAACGGTTTTCCAAGATGTTAAATATCTGTTAAGGCCTGTTCTTAAATCCCATCCAAATTTCATCCCCGGCAGCAATGTGTCTGTAGGATAATCAAAGCTTTGCCATAAATAATTTTTCGGGTCGGGATCGCTTTCCTGCCGGAGAATGAAATTTCCAGTTTCCAGCAATTCTGCTACAGTATTTTCTGCCCTGGAATGATTTGTTGACCATACAGATTTTCCATTTTCATCCGAAAGAACAAGATTTCCATCTTCCCCAATTTTCAACACCCCTGAAGAGTTTCTTACAGGTGAATCTCTATTTGCGACCCAAACAACAGTTTTTTCTTCAATATTCTTGTACCAGATTCCGATGTACCAGTTCTTTGATTCTCCAGGACTAAAGAAGCCCAATTCAAATTCTTCCCCTATAGAAACTAATATTTCATCTCCGGCGAGAAGCTGGGTCGGAGTAATCAGATCAATGGCAGTGGTGCAAATTGAAAACACGGTGAATAAAATCAAGAAACACCAAAAGTGGTGGTGCAGGTTCTTGATAGTAATTACCATTTTCCAAATTGGGCTTTGTATCTCTTTCTAACATTCGGCCATATGTTGATCCTTGATCTAATTTTCCTGGTTTAATACACTTAGAAATCTGTGTAAACGCATTTTCTTTGTTAGTACATATGGAAGTCTTTCCTTTTGTCTTTCTTTGACAATGATGAATATCTAACCCCTTTAAGTGTGAAAGTACAATTTTTTTTCGGAAAATTGCAGTAAAGATCTTTTACCTTTTATTTTTTACAAGCTTTATTCTAATCTTTATTTTTGTGTCAATGGAAGTTCCTAACCTTTTATAAATATGCACCTGATATCCACCTAGACGAAAACCTTCCAAAAATCGTCATTTGACCGGAAAAATTAAGGAATCAATATCCAATAAAACAGTCCAAAAACGTATTAACATCCAATAAAACCGTCAAAAAACATATCAACATCCAATAAAACTGTCGCAGCAGTAGATAGTTTAAGAAATTTTTCCGGTACTGGTGATGTTTTGTACAGTTTCCGTCTTGATGGACCTCTGATGATCATTTATGAAAAGTTAGGGACATTCGTTGATACAAATGAAGGTTAGGGTAATGTCTATAAAAAATGAAAAAATTAGGGACTGTTGCTGCAATTATCCCAATTCTTTTTTACATATATAAAACAAGGCTTTAATTATTGGCTTGATCCGGCAAGAATAAGAACGGGAGATGGACCGACTTGTCAAAGTAGAACGTTAAAAACGCATAAAGCGGAAATTTGATCAAATCTTTATTTATCTTTGCAATCTCATGTTAAATATTTCAAGGAAGTTTTGATTAATACTAAACATGAGTACACATAATTAATAACAAATTAAAATTTTATCGATAGAATTGTTTATTCCTATGTAACATTGAGGCTTTGTTTGTCTACTATTTTTTCACATTCTATCACGTTATTTTTTCTACAATCCTCATTATCTCATTTTCAACCTCACATTCTTTATTAAAATAATATTACATGTAAATAAAAAAAAATCTTTCTTTAACCACATATTTCAACATCAATCACTATTTCATAATATATTACTCACAAATAATGGGATACAAACAAGCACTGAGTACAAAATACAATATTAGATAACTACAACAAATTACAAAATAATGATATTCAGCACCACTACTAATGCAGCACGATTCAAATGTGACGCTAATTAACAGACTCAATGAACTATAAGATTAAATGGTTTAATAAATTGTAGCTTTTATTTAACGTCACACTAGTGCCATTTATATGTTTTAGCCCCTGTTTGGTCTCATTCTCTTTTTCTTTTTTCTCTATCTTATTTTCAACCACACAATCTTCCACAAAATAATATTATGCGTAAATAGAAAATTTTTCATTCATTTTCAACCACGGATTCTTTAAAAAAACACTAGTCCAAGCGTTAAATTTTGGAACAAATGAGGGTCAAACAGGGGCTAAACTATATTTCATTTTTCTCTCTTTTATTTTCAATAACACAATATTTCATAAAATAATATTACACGTATATCGAAAATTTTTCTTTCATTTTCAATGACTCATTTTTCCTAAAAAAAAAAAACTATTTTACCAAATTTCATTTCAAAAAATGGGGGCCTGCTTAAATCAAGTGATGCTAAATTAAGAAGGGTTAAAATTTGACATGTGTCATGTAGTAACTTAGGCCCTATTTGAGCCTATTATTTGTCAAAAATACATTTTGAAATAGTGATTTGATGAACAATGTATAGTTAAAAAATAAAGAAATTTTTTTGATATACATGTAATATTATTTTATTGAATAATTTGTGATTGAAAATACGATAGAAAAAAACATATTTTAAAAAGGAGACCAACAAGGGCTTAGTAAGTGACTCCAAAATCAGGTCTTAACTAGTTTTATTTTTATTTTTTTCTCTTAATTGTCAAATCATTACGCAAAAAGTTGAAAATTTTACCTCTTGAGTTTCAAATTTTGAACTTCAAGTTAATGCAAAAAATTCCCCTCTCCATATTATTCTAGACAAATTCTTGACAAATGCTTTGTTATAAAGAAGAGACGCAATTCAATTACACGTAAATCGAAAATTTTTCTTTTTTTTTTCATTCACTCCAAAAATACTATTTCACCCATTTTCATTTTCAAAAAGAGGCTAAACGGGGCTCAATCAACAAGTATGCCTTTAATCTACCTAATTTGTGAGATCACAATTTATAAATTATTGAAAAAGGTAGTTGTGGGGTTTGACGGAGGCTACGTATGTTAGGTACAGCAAAGTTAAAGCTCTGTGTTCTTAATTAATAATTAAATCATTTTTAATAATTATTCCAATCTAACCACCAATATATATTCTCTACCGTTAACAATATATTATCCACGTTTTGCTTACCCATTCTGATTTCAAATATATTCCAAATCATACAATTTCGTCAGAGTCAATGGATGGATCAAATTATTCTTTTGATTTTATTTAAATTAGTCATTTGAATGTTTGTTTGGGTTTTAATTCCTTTTAAGGTCAAATTGTTCAGCCTGAATACCATTTCTGACTTGCAAGGATGGAATTTTTCTACTCAATTTTCATGTTTTGGACGGGCAAATTTTATGGGAATTGTTAAATATTGGACTTTTTAGCTCCCGTTTGGCCTCCATTAAATTAGTTTTTATTTTTATTCTTCTTATTTTCAACCACATAATCTTTTATTAAATAATATTACAAGTAAATAAAAAAAAATTTCGTTCTTAACCACCCAATCTCCAAAAAAATACTATTTCCCCCACTAAATTTTGAAATAATGGAGCCCAAACTAGAGCTTGTATTTGCCAAATAAATTTATCTGATAGTAACTGAAATGTGCAATAACGTTAATACCTATGCCTCTGTTTGGCCCCCATTTGTGGAAATGGAAATGGGTGAAATATATATATATTTTTTAAATGAGTGGTGAAGGAAAAAATTTCGATTTATATAAAATATTATTTTATGAATAATTGTATAGTTGGAAATATAAGCGAATGAAAATTATTGAGGTGAAACGGGAGCACCCATCTGCATTAGAAAATGGCAAATCTGGTGGACAACTCAATGACTTATTAAAGAAGGAACAATTATAGCACCATTGAATTAGACTCAAACGTATGACATCTCAATCTCATATAATCAGAAAATATATAAGTATTTTATAGATTTTTGTCTTGTTGAGAATGTCAAAATATTTTCATATTTTCATCCCTCACTTTTACGAGGCGGACCCAAGGGGTCCCACTAAATCACATGACCTCCAATTTTTTCCAAAAAGAGAAAAACTTAGATTTCGGGTTCACTATGAAATATCAAACGAATCATTTTGAAGTACTGACGATCTAATATTTTACGTCGCTAATTGTGTGCGAAATGGTCAATTGTAGCAAATGTTACGATACGTCAAAATAGGCCATTCCAAACTAATATTTTGAAAATTTTGATAACAAGCTAGATTTAAAAATTCTTCGACAATTATACGCTAATCATATTCATAAATCTTCTATATTCTCTCGAAACATATTTCGAGAACTATATCATAAACATATCGAATAATATAAATGATTATCGAAAATAGTTAAACGTATGTCAAACGTCTATATTAAAAATAGACTTATAACTCGTCTTTTTGAAAAAAAAAAAAATCAATTACTTTATTAATATTTATTATTTTTGCTCAACAAATTTCTCAAATAATTTATATTATTTTATTAAGAAATTTTATATGTGGTATGACGTCAAATTATATTTTTTTTTTGGACGTAACAATTCTTAATATTTTGTTTATTACTTCATAGGGGTTATAAATTGTTATCTACTTTTTTATCTTGATTATTTTTATATCTCAAAAAATTTATATATAAAAAAAATTCAATCATTTTTAGGATTTTTATTATTATTACCCTTTCCTCTCGATCAATTAAATTATTTTCAAATGACGTCAAAAATGTTATTAATAAATTTATTAGATTATTTTTAAAAAAAATTGTTTGAGAGGAAAAAAGTAACAATAATAAAAAAAATTCCTAAAAATGATCGATTTGTTGTAAATGGAAGATCCATTAAAGTTTATTAGTGAATGACATTTGTACCCCTGTAGTCCTAGAAATTATTACCATTGTATCTCTGATTCTTACCTATAAATATAGGGCTTTGGTTTTTAATAATATACACAAAAAGTTTATTAAGTTTTCTCTATTCTCTTTTCCTCTCATTTTATAACACATTATCAGCACGAATCTCTTAGAAGGTACTAATTTTTTTTCATAATCATCTATCACGTATATCAAAATTAATTTGATAATACGTGAATTTTACATATACATGTGTTGAATCTGCAATACGTGATCTTATCTTTCTCGATCATTATTTTTTTTTGTACCTCTCTTTGAATTAATTAATATTTTTTTCCTTTACATCAATCCACGTGCATTTTTATGGAGATATATTTATGTTAAATCAATTGATATGCATTAATTCATATTCCTATACCCTACTTATATTTAGATTAGCCCTTTACGTACTACACGTGCTTATAATTTTTTTTGGCTTAATTGGTCAATGTTCTTTGTAAGCAAGTTTCAATTTCAGATCTCTATTTTGGTTTATTCCATATATATATAATATACAATTGACAAATAAATGTACCAAACTTATCTTTTCTCTCAAATCCATTGATTTCTACAAATTTCATGCATTAATTGGTTAATACTAATTCAATTCTTTTAATTGCACATAATTAGAATTTTGTGCCATAATATGTGAATAGGTTTCTACATGTCACCAATTTTTTTTCACTCGACTCACGTTATTAATTCAAAATAATATTTTACATGTGTTTGTATATTAATTAATGGTGAGCAATTGGATGTATTATCATTTTTTTATGTTTAGTTATGAAACATTACATTAAATTTATTTTTAATTGTTGTTGCTTTTGAAGTAGCACAACATTATAATTAATATTTCAGAAGAATATTAATCATAGATCTATTCGTTGTTGCTCCAGAAGTAGCACAACATTATAAGAATATTATTTGCTCCTGAAAAGCATAAATTATAACTCACCATATTCCAGAAGAATATTGACATATTGCATTTGAAAAAATAATAGCGAAATATATGGTGCTCCAGA